AGCGCGCCGGGACGGGCACGGGCACGGGCACCCGCGCCTCTCCGAGGAGGGATCCGCAGCCCCGAGCACCGACACGGCGTTAACTGCCAGCCTAAGGGCTGGGTGGTTCATCCCATCGCCCCGTGCATTTCTTCTATTCAGAGAGAAAATCCCCGATGAACTTCCCCGTCGCTCTTGTGTCGTTCGTGGCACAGAGTGAAGGAGCAGGGATGCTCCAGGGGTCCTGTCGTGGAGGGAGAAAGTGAGGGGGCTCTGTCACTCGGAGCCAGTCTTTTTTCAGGGGTCGTGACTACGAAGCAGACATTCGAGTCGGATCCAAAGGGAGGGAGGAAGGGATGCAGGGAGGGTCAATCCACTGAGGCTTTCCCACGGTTGCTCCATCATCTCCTTATCACCGGGATACCGAAACACCCGTGGCGAGGTAAGAAACCGTGTCAGTAAGTGGTTCCTGGGAACCATTATAACTACTGGGTCGCGAAGGTGGAGAAACTGCTCCTCCCAGCTGGGCATGAGAAGCGTTTCATTTGTAAGGCTGAAACCTGGTTGATTTGCCTGCCAAGAATTTCCTTGGACATGTACTTTTTATGTGCAATTAAAAAAGATTAAAAATCCCCGGAATTGACATAATCAGAATTACAGATATATTAAAACTATGTGGGCATACCCCAGCACAGGATGCGCACACAGCCTTTTAATGTCGTTTGTACTCCACATACACGTGTGTGTATTTCCTCTTCCCAGAAGGCCGCTTTCGACCTCGAGCAAACAAAGGCTATCACTCTGGTCATGCTCTCAGCTGCACTGGTGAACAGTTCGCCTCTTCCCTCCAGTGTTTTGATTTTTGCTAGGCAGTGTCAGTTCAGTGATTCCAAGGAAAGCAAAGAAGAGATGAAATCATGACAGTCAGAAGAGATAAGTGGTACTAACCCCCAAAATAAATGAAAGGAATTAGATGGGAAATGTGCCTTTTGAATCAGGATCACAAATAATTTAAATGATTAATTACCTCCCCTTTTTTTCTTTTCTCTCTTTGCATGTGCTTTAATCTGACATTCATGCAGTGAATAAAACTTGCTTAGGCCTCTGTCTGCCAATCCAGAACTGATTCTGTTTTCACAGTTGCTTTGAATTTTGCATTTTCATCATAAAAACATCACTGAATGGGAATTTGCAAGAGTAAAATCCAGGGCACCTGACTCTAGTTGTCTCTTCCTGCAAGATTTACAAGGGAAACACAGATTTTTTTCTTTTGTCTTTTTAATTTTTTTTTTAAAACCATTTCCAGTTACAGGAGAAAATGTAAAGATGTCTTGGCACATCTCTCTCTCTCTCTCTCTCTCCCTCTCTCTTTTTTTCCCCTTTGCATTCCAGTCATTCTTTTTCTGCCCATAAACTGTTACTACTCTGCAAGAGCCTGATTCTGCACAGCCTACTCAGCCTGTTTTTTTGTTGGATGCAGGAAGAAATTCTGTCACATGGGGTCTTAAGTGTACATTCATGAAACAGAGCAAAAGCCTCTCTCAGAATGTGCACTGGAACAGCAAATAGTTACTTTTCAGCTGTGGATTACATGTGCCTCTGAAAAGGGGACCACAAATCATTGGGTTTTTAAAGGTTCCACATGAGTTGTATATTAATCCCAGTTTCCCAAGGGATGGATTAATCCCAGCTTCCCAGTTGTGTGGCTACAGATGATGTTGATGGGGTTGGAGGCAGGGGAGAAGGGAGATGGGGAAAGGAGAGGGAAATTAAAAAGATATATCACAGGAATACGTGGCCTAAGTGGCGAGGAGCCATAAGTACTTAAGTTTCAATACCTCTTCTACCTCTGTCACCACATGTGAGCTGAAGCAAATCACTTCAGCTCCCTGTTTTGGTTTCTTCATCTGTAAATTGGGGATAATGCTGCTGCTTTTGCTCTCAAGAGGCCTGGCACACTTGTGTAGAAACTCCTGCTCAGCCCTCAGTAGTGAAAGAAGATATTCCGATTTGTACCTGGGCAGCTGAAAGCAGTGGCTGATCTGGGAGATCTAATGGAGTGTGTAAGACAAATTTATATTCACGTGTAATTCTTTTTCGGCCCTGGCAGTTTTGTTGAGAGATGGAGTCCTAAAACCCAGCATGCATTTCTTCTCTACATTCCTATCCAATGACTAAACAGGAGGAATGGCATGGGCCAAATTCATCCCTGGTGGGACTCCAATGACATCAGTCATCTTTATAGGAGTTTTTTGAATGAAGTCAATTGGGTTTTACGAGGACTGAGTCTGGCCACATGCATATTTAACTGCTCAGAGAGCTGCAGCAGTGAAGGAAGCTTTCCTTGCCTTAGAAAGGATCACTCCTGAGTATGAGAGACACCAGTTAAGCCACTGACCTGTTTTACACAGTCAGGTTTACCTTATTTAAACTCAAGGAGCAGCTGAAGTGTGCTCAGCATCCAGCAGAACTTAAAAAAACCCAACCCAGCTGCCCCAAAATGTTCATAGCTTTCCATGAAACTTTGTATTTGTCCATACCGCTCGGTGCAGCACCGTGCCATGGATACCCAGCAGACATGTTTACATGACACAGGGCAGCACCCTGCAGGAGCATTGGCATGAGGCCTGCAAGCAAAACAGTGGCTTCAGCGTGGTTCTGTGCCGGAGTTGTTTGGCTCTGCCCTCTATTAGGTCTAGTTGTTCCAGAGTCCCTGCCATGCTCGTACATCTCTACTACTTCCAGCTCATGTCTCTGGGGCTGTAATTCAACTGTCAGTTATACCTGGTGAGAACATGGTAAATCACTAACAGGGGGTTTTCCTTCCTCCACCTGTGCCTTAGCTGTTGGTGCTGACTCCCCCTACACCTTATGCTTGTGCTTGACTGGAGTCTGATATTGCACCAAACATGAAAATAGTTATACTAGTACTGTATTTCCTGATACAGTCACTATTGAAAAATAAAGCAAAACAATTTGATCTGTGACAGTGATGATCAAAATTTGTCCACAGAGCTTGTCACCACTAATCAGTTGAATTATTTGCACAGTCTATTGATTTTGCATTCTTACTGTATCTTCTAAGGAACAAGATAACTTGAACAGTTAGAGAACTGTATTGCTACGTTTGAGTGGCTGAATGTGTGCTCTGGTTATATGAGGCACCTCAGCTATTTTCCAATGGATGAATGTCATATCTCTTTTCCTGATTTCTAACTTGCCTTCTGTCTTTACTAGATCTTTGGTGATGGAACTTGCATTTGATTTTTAATATTTTTACATTATATGTGTGAAATAATGAAATCTGAGTTTATGGGCTTGTTCATCTCTTTTACAGCAATTTGACTTGGCTGAATTAAGTGGAGCTATTCTAGTTTTACAGCAGAAGTTGTGAGAAGAGAATTAGGCCTACAGATGGTTTGCCGCAGCCACAAAATCCACATTGCTGAGAACCACTATCACTTTTTGTCTATATTTAATTTTCCTAAGTTTTATTTTACCACTTTGACTTCTGTCCCTATTTGTCTGTATTTCATACTCTGATAAATTGAGGGAAAAATAAAGAAGGAAATTGTTACTGGCTTTTCAACAGGTATATCAGCTTCTACCAGAGACCCAATACCCAGTTTTCCTCTCTTTTCTCCAGTCCTTATTTCTTGGGCAATATTCCTCTTTTTTTTTTTTTTTTTTCCCTCACATGTGTTAAGACTTCTTCCTGTCTTCTTTTTTCTTCCTCAGTGTTGCTAGAGTTCTTGCTGTGCCCATCTTATTTCTCAATTTGTACTTCTGCCTCTCATTCCACTCCATTTTGACTACATGTTGCTGCAACTGTACTTTTACTTGGCACATCATTGGACCTGTTGCCTCTATTTCAATCTGTCCGGTTTTGGCTACCCTTTGGCCTTCTGCAGCAAGTTCAAGTTAATGTCTTCCAGAATGAAACTCATCAGAAATCTGGCTTTCTCTGAGTCTCTGAATTCATTCATCTCTTCATCCTCTTGCTTCCTTCACTTGTTTCAAACAACCACATAATTATCACCCTTCTCTCATCATGACACCTTTTCTCTTTCTGGCCCTTTGGCTTCTAACTGGGGCTGCCCAAATCACCTGCTATAGGGGAATGATTAATCTATTTAACAACTTTTTTTTCCATTCAAGAGTTGTCCAGACATAGCATGGCTTTCTTCCAAATGTATGTGAAGATATTTCAGTTTATATATGTCTTGTAAATTCTTCTGATGCTGTTTCTTTATCTATTTATTCTCAAAGAGTTCAGCACCAGGCTACAGAAAAGTCTCAGGTACATTTTCAAAGAACAGAGGGGAAAACTTCCCAATAAGGAAATACTAAAGTAGATAAAAACAGATGTCATTGAAAGTTATATTAGATAGGAGGGGTCTGTGTGCTGCTAGCCTTAGGGAACAAATACATACTCATGAGTGTGTGCATGATCCTGCTCTCCTTCCTGACCTGCTGTGGCCAGTGAGGCTGGTCAGACGCACATCCAGAAGAAGGACTGTACTGCACTTCAGAGGACAAAGCAGGATGTCAGAGACACACAACTATATAGGACCATTGGACTCTTCTGCTCAGCAAAAGTCTCCTTCAGGCTCTTCCATCCCTTATTAGTTGAACTCTCAAACCTCACAAATAACAACCCACCTGTATCTTACACAGGCTGCTGAGGCCACTTCAGTGCTCCAGGCACAGTCGCCCCTGTCCTGCAGGTTTTCCTCTCTGCTCGTGGTCTCTGCTGTGTATAGAGACCACCTGCAGCCTCATGCTGGGAATTCTTCCAGTCTGACACTCACTGGGATGTGCTCACGGGTTAATGGGACTGACCATACTGTCATGAGGCATTAAGGACAGATTTTTTTAATGTGTGGTGAGTTTCATTTTAACTAAGCA